TATAATCAGAAATGTCAAGACAAGCACATATTGTGCTTTTAGGACACTGTGCCTACACATGACACTTGAAAACGTCCAATCAGCTGAATGAGTAAAAATCCAATGTTATTAGTAATAATTCTGAATCTTTAAGCTAAAATTTCACAAAGATTTCATGATAATTCTCCAGAAATGCCTATCACCCTAATTACTCTAGGACTTCCTTTCCTGGGCCCTGATATTTTGGGGGATCTATTTGGACCATATTGATGTCTATGATTAGATATAGGTCTTTTTATGCTTTAAAAATACTGCCTAGTAGTTATGACATTTTATACTGTGTTTGACAATGTGACTCTCAAAATCAACCTCTTGGGCTTTGTCATATTTATTTCATAAAATGTTTTAATAAATACAAATATCTTCCAGTATTTTACATGTTTCAAATTACTAAAGGTGTTAGTTTAATGTCATGGGAAAATTCCCAGTATTAAAAAATTTTTATATCTACACCCTATCTCTGTACTGAATGACCTATGTTTTTCATTGTAAAAGTAATTCATGTTTGTAGTATCTTTAAAGAGTAAAAGCATACAGACAAGTAGGAAGTAGAAAACATTCATCTTTCTTTTTAGCCACCCCTTCTTCCCAGAGAATTTCAGAGCCTTCTGGAAATTGGTAAAGTGCACTTCAGATGCCCTTTTTACAGTGTTTGGCATAGCTATGTGTATGGCAAGGATCTGAATGACTGATTTGAGACACTGGTTTCAGATTTTGTCAACAGTCTTTTTACCGTGTACACACAATAACATCTGTGTAGCTTTAAAAGAAAAAAGGGAAACTAAAATGAAAATCATAGTAGACTTAAAAGGCAACTAACCTTTTTCCACCTCATTCAGATTAGCAGCTGGCAGCGACAAAGACAGAAGAGACAAAAGACTTTTTACATTGCAGTACAACAGCAGAGCACACGAAGCCAATGTGCGGCATTAACAGAGAAGCCAAGGGTGAGAGCAAACTAAAGCAAGGCTCAGATTTCTTACCTACGGCAGGGCCACACGCACAAACATGGAGTAAAGGAGGCAGAAGGTAAATGCCATCCCAGGCAGCGAGAGGTCTGCATCTCAACGAGTTCATTTAACAACCAGCAGGTTTACTTTTTAAGACGTGCACTTCATGGTTTGTGTGTGGGCATCGGAGGTTCGGAAAATGAAGAAATAATGGCACAAAATGGAAAAGCTAAAATGGTCTGAATATTTTCCACAAAATACTTTCTAAGTCCTTACATGCCCAATTTGTACGGAAGCTTTCATTTCCTGAACTGATGTCATCCCATTAAGTAATACCATGGTTTAGACTGAGACCAACTTTGTGTCATCTTTGTATATGGTCCCATGAGAATAGTGTTAGGAAGCATAGTCTTGATGTAGCTGATCCAGGGTTCTGACTCTTAGGAAACATGCGAAAACATGTTTTTCGATTCAAACAACTAAGTTCATACCAGAGCTTGAGAATAAGTGTCAAGTTTTTCAGCTTTGCAGGGATGCTATATACACAATTTTCATTTTTCTAGGTTTTGAGCTAATATACTTTCTAATTTATAACTTGAGGAATTCCATAAAAATGTACCTCCAAGATATGCACTCTTTTTAGGAAGGATATAATAATGATTAAAAACAAAAACAATTTTGCAAGCTGAAATTAACACCCCAGACTGAATTTTTAAATTATTTAATTATTCCAGAGTCCTACTTCCTGAATCCTTAGCATTTAAATTTAAAATCCTTAAAATTTAATTTAAAATCACAGTGAATTAAAATTTCCAAAATTAATCCTCTGAAAAATACTAGCAAGCAACAGTCATATTATGCAACTAGAAGGACAGAGGATGGCTTGAGTTAGGTAGAAAAGAATAGTTTTGGTAACCCAGGTGGGGAAAGTATTGCAAAGATTAGATAATAAAAAACAATATTGACCCTTAAAAATTATGTTGTCAATCCCTGCAGCAGGAAAGAATGGAGAGTTTTCTCCTCTAATAAATCAATCACTATTTACTGTGGTGTTTTGGTCACAAGGGCTTAAATAAATTTAATTTCCCAATGGCAGTTCATTCTATAGTACAGCCTACCTATCACATAGTAAGTTCTCTGTCAGACTGCTTTCGGGTCTTTGAATTTCCTCCGTTAGCAACATGATGTCCACTTCTGAGTCTTGACACAGGTGCCAAAGGTAAAACCTTTCACCATAATAATTTACAACCTTTTCCCATGAAGTTTTATTTGTTCCTACTAACCAGTTCACTTTCTCATTGTTTGCCTCTGGGGGTACAGAGTAAAACATCTCCAAACAGAAAAGCAACTTCTGACTTGAGTGATTTTTAAACAATGACAACATGATTATATTCCCTGAGCACAGCACGGTTTCTCTTCCCAGGTCTCATACTCATTAATCAGATTCCAAACTTAAATCTGAAACAATATAGCCACATTATTAAAAAAAAATCCTCCCTAACTGCAGGCTTGGATGAAGTGTGATATGAAACTCTAGAGTCCAATTTATACTTCCTATAATTAAAGGCCACTTATGTGCCACTCGTTTCAAAATCTGCAGATGGTTGCTTGATATTTTGTAAATGAGCTCATTTCACATGTGGACCAAAATACTACAGCTAATGGGTGAGTATGTGCCCAGTTTAGACATCTGCTCTAATGCCAACTGTCAAACTCCTTGTTGTCCCCAAGACCCAGCCCAGTGACAGTGGTAATATCTCCATGTTTTGTACACTGTGAGCTTTCTACTGAGTTCGGTATTTTTGTTAATTCTTTGCCCAAATTAAGGCAAACCAGTATTTGCAATAGCTATGACTAAAAACATCTAAGAGTCTCAGTTCTTGTTGAGAACCGTGATTCTGGACAGATAGTCATGGCAGGTTCCCACATGATGGCCTTTATAGATGTCACATTTTGGCTAAAAAGTGGTTTTGCTAAACTTTGGGGTTTTTTGATGTGTTTCATAAAAAGAGATCTGACACGGGGAAAATGAGGCTTCATAACACTTCTAGAGGAAGTTGCAGTGAACTGCATCACTTAGGATGGAGAAAACGTGATCAAGAGGAGAAGGTACAGGAAGGAAGCTTGGGAGAGAAGGTAAGGTGAAGACTCAAAAGAAATGGGTAAGAAATAAGATAGAGCAAATCTAAAGCCAACCCCTCTCCAAACCAACTGAGAAGAGTTTGCCACCTTCTGTAAATTATCATAAAAAAGGCGTCTAAGAACCTGAATACGAAGTGCTTTCAAGCCTCGGTTTTCATCAGGGCATATAGATAAATTCTTGGTCTCTGTGCTCAGGAGCACACTGGCTAATCCAAATGTGCTTGAAATGCTTAGGTCTAGTTTAGCCTGGTCAAGTGGAGGTTAGTTTCAAGAGGCTTCCAAAATTAAGCCCTTAAGATAATGATTAGAACAATGAGAGGAAAACAGAACTTCTCTCTCCTAAGAAGGTACTAGGTAACAGATTTTAATGCAAACATCGGGCTTCTTGTTCAAGTCTGAGTTAGCTCAGCCAAGAAAACTCAAATTCTCAGGGTAGCTCCAAGGGCCCCAGGATCTGTCTGTGCATGCAGGCCATTGGCAACTCTCTGAGGTGTGACACAAGTAATATTAGTGTGAATGTCAAAGCTATGTAGCACCTACACTTCCCAACCATTTTAGAATGGGTACCTGTTGAATATATTTGCTATCCTTTATTAATGTGAAATATCAAAGAATTCAAACTAGTCACTAAGGGGTCCAAGGCTGCATATATGTAATAGAACAATTATGATACAACATGTTCAAATTCCTACTGGAAACTTAGTATATTACACTATATGACATCAGATGCTTCACTGGTGTGAAAAAAAAACCCAAAACAAACAAATATGGAAAAGGCAGGTTCAAAGACACTCAAACAAATCTGGGATATCAAAATAGAATGCTTGTTTTTTATCTAGCCTTTTCCCATCAGGAAAAGTACTTATTGAAATGCAAAGTTTGTGTATTCCATAAAGCTTACATTTCAATGCTACCCTGACAAGTCTCTGGGAAAGTGAATCATACAGATGTGCTCTCATCTTTTCATGTTTAGAGATGTTAACCTCAGTCATCTACCCAGTTATCTTATCCTCTGATATTCTTAACTATGTATTGAATCATACGGAAATACATAGTTAATGAACAATACCCATCAAAATGAAAATGGTTACTTTGAGCAGAGTCACAGGATCTACTTCCCCATCTTTTCTTGTAAATCGAATGTGTAACATTCTCTTTTCTCCATCAACTTTAAAACTAAGTGGTTTATTAAGGAAACGAGACAGCAACTATTTCACTTCTTATTCATAGCCACCAAAATCCATCAAAACAGATATATTGACATAACAGGGTTAGCCGAAACTTGACATTGCCTTTATAGCAAATTGGTTTGTGCAGGGAAGTTTATCAGTTCAGACCGAGTTATGAAATTTATCACCTTAAGACACGAAACGTCAGGAAAAAGGTGATAATCATGAGATTATCCAATGTGCTCAATATCTTCCTGATTCTGTTTTATTTTGAAGGACAGGAGTTACTAGAGGAAAACACTCACTAGTGAAGAAACACCTAGGGACACAAGTAATCTCAAATGCTTAATTGTGTTTTGACTGTGAAAAAGTGGCCTCTTTTCCATATGTATTGGTGGGTTGGTTTGCACAGGAGAGGTGCTTTACCTGAAAATGCTTACAGTTGTGGGAATAAAAGCTTCAGAATGGTAACTTTTGCTGTGTAGCATGACTTTATGTAGATGTCTGTGGTTTGAACTTGCTGCATCTTTTATTTGGTTGATCCAAACCATTTTTGTCTGTTATTCACATTACATCTAATTTTCAAAACACCTACCGGTTATGGAATAATACAATGCTTACTATATGCATACGACACAGGGCCACTGATGCTTTCAAACAGGTACACTACTGATGGCACAGCATTTTCGCTTCTCCTTACCTGTGTACTCAGGTGGGCAAAGGCACGTGTAGTTGTTAATTCCATCAACGCAGGTAGAGTTATTTTCACAATCGTTATCTTCACAGTCATCAACATTGACTTCACAATTTTCTCCTTCAAATCCATCAGCACAAATACACCTGAACGCCAGGGGAGAAAAGACCAAAAAAAAAAAAAAAAAAAAAAAAAAAAAAAAAACCACGAAAATAAAACAGAACAAAAAAGCACGTCCTTGGTACATTTAGAACTATATAGTCTAAATACTGAAAAAAGCTAAACATGCTCATCCATTACAGACATTTTAACTGTTAGGAAATTAAACTTTAAAGTACTTTTAAAAGACATGTAGTAGGCATGAGTTTAAAGTAGTATCTCCCAAATCAGAAACAATTTGAAAAAAGAGAAGCTTTGCCGGCTGCAAGATGGCAAATAGCCCCATAGTCCTATAAGTCAATATATCCAATGTATTTGCAGGTCTAAAACACAAGCAAGGTTTACAGCCCTAGATACACTGATCTCAAGTTGTGCTCTAATAAAATGATTCATGCTTCTCTGCTCATGAATAAGGAGCAACTGGGTCTGACATTAAATTTTTTTAATAAACTAAATGTTTATTTAGTTTTGAGAGAGAGAGAGGGGGAGAGAGCATGAGCAGGGGAGGGGCAGAGAGACAGCGAGCACAGAACCTGAAGCAGGCTCCAGACTCGGAGCTGTCAGCAACGAGCTCAATGCAGGGCTCAAACCTATGAACCATGAGATCATGACCTGAGCCGAAGTCAGATACTTAACACACTAAGCCACCCAGAAGCCCCGGTTCTGACTTTAAAAATTACACCACTTTCCGGCGCCTGGGTGGCTTACTTGGTTAAGTGTCCCACTCAGCTCAGGTCATGAGCTTGAGGTCCATGAGTTAGAGCCCCATGTAGGGCTCTGTGCTGACAGCTCAGAGCCTAGAGGTTGCTTTGAATTTTGTGTCTCCCTCTCTCTCTGCCCCTGCCCCGCTCACGCTCTCTCTCTTTCTCTCTCTCAAAGGTAAATAGACATTAAATAAAATAAAGAAAAAAATTACAACACTTTCTATCCTAGCAGTAATGTCTTCCATATCTCAAAGCAAAAAAAAAAAAAAAAAAAAAAAAAAAAAAAAAAAAAAAAAAAAAAAAAAAAAAAATCTGAAAATAAAATTACATCTTCCTTGTCATTATAAAATGTAAATGTTCTCTTTAAGTCTCAACAAATACAATATTTTTCAATGACATAAAATGTTGTACATTTATTTTCAATAGGTATCAGGATAATCTTTGAGTAAAGTCTTACTGAAAAAAGAGACCATTTCATAAGAGAATGCAGAAATGAAGAATACTTACTGTAAAAAGTGATATTTCTAACAAGCTATGTAGTAGATTAACATTCTTATGTGAAATTATTACTGTCATTATAAGAACTCTATTTCATAATTCATGAAGTACATCTGAAGTAATTGTACTGTATGATTAAATAACTCCAGATTAAAAATGTTCACAGCATGTTTGTCTACTCATTTTGTGGCCTGGAAATGAATCATTAATTTTCTGTTCCAGAGGGACCTACGTCTTATCATTACACACTGTCTGTGAAAGCAATACACAAAACAGATGAATATGCATCTTGAAGTAGGAGACTACTGGCTATTAATTAGCATAATAGAGCTACTACTCTGTCTTGACCTAATCTGACTATATGAATCATAACGCATGCACGTGCATATGTTTAAAAATTCTTGATTTTATAGCATCCTGAACTGGGAATACTGTAATGTTTGTTTTTCATATTACAATATCTCCGAGAAGGACGAATGCATATTGTTCTGATGAACACATTTCTGGCATTCTTTTAGGAATAACACCCTTTGATTTGAAAAGGAAAATGAGTGTTTGCTTAGTTATTCTTGTTCCAATGCTTCAGACAGAATATTAGAGTCCAGTGACCTACCAGAATCCATCTTTTTCTCCTTCCTTTAAGTGGCAAGTTCCTCCATGTTTACATGGGTTACTGATGCATGCATGAATAGGAACATCACAGTCCTGCCCCTGGAGAAGGAATGGCCAAGTAAAGTCAAGTGTAAACAAAGCAGATCTCAGTACATAGAGAAAACACAATAGAATGACGAGGACCCACCGAAGAAAGCTATGTTTTCAGATGATGTCTCCCTTAAAAGTTTCTACTTACCTTGAAACCATACGGACATGTGCAGCGATAAAAGTCAACTGGGTCATTGTTACAGGTGCCATCATTTTTACACGGATTTGATAAGCAGGGATTACATTTAGCTAGAATATTGACATCCACGGGACCTGAAAATTAATTTAAAAACATAAGAAACTGATTCCTTGTATTTTTAGTTCACTTATTTACATGCCTTAATATAACAGTAGATTTTGTACAAAAAATATTGGTCACATATCTATATGTATTTCTCTTCCGTGAATAAAATAGAAATCTGCATCATCATATAATGTTCAAGAATGCAACAGGAGACCATCTCATTGAGAGCTGTGGTGAGACTGTCCAACTTCAGAGTGGGACTATGGGTTGTGATCTTAGGTGGTAAGCATCTGATGTTAGTGATGCAAGTGTCACGGGGTTGATCCCCTCAGAGGTTAACTAGTCTATGTGGATGCATTCCATGACCATTGCCTGCACTTAACTTCAGTCAGCTGTCATGGAAATGCATACCATCAATCCCAAAGAGGACTGTGTGTGTGTGTATGAGTGTGTGTGTCTGTATGTTGGGGGATATGTGTGAAGGTTTAATGAATACATATAAATACATCAGTGCAATTAAAAACACAATAGGGGGGCCTGGGTGGCTCAGCTGGTTAAGCATCAGACTCTTGATTTCGCCTCGGGTCATGATTTCATGATTCTCTCTCTCTCTCCCTCTCTCTCTGCCCCTTCTCTACTCTCGCTCTCAAAATAAATAAATAAAATAAACTTTAAAAAATACAGAAGTATGCACCTGCCCTGATAGCATTAGTTCAGTAGTGTTATTTTCACACAGGAGAGAGAAAACAGTGCCACCTTTATGCATATGGAAATAAACCAAAAATATAATTTCCATTATCTCTTCCCTCATATCCTCTTGGTTCAGTATGCTATCACATTAGCACGGCATGTGGTGGGTGAGATGTCTGTATCTTCCTCTCCAAGAAGAAAACACCATTGAAATCATCTTCTCTTGCAATCTCACTTTTTGGGAAACACATTTTAAAAATCTCCTGATCCATGAAAGGTTTAGATTAAATGCAGATTCACGTGCAACCATTTTTCTTTGGTTGCACATATTCATTCCATAAATGGCTAACAACGTGGAAACTGTACTGTCTTCAATAAAATTATGATCCACTGATGCTACGTTTTGCCATATTTTTGAGCGCTCAAAAATGCTTTTGGCAACGGAGGAGGACAATAGAAGAGTGACCTATTCATACATGTAAAATGCAAATATTTTATAATATAATAATGAATCATGTTTCTGTCATCACCATCTCTCTGTATTTCTTTATCCTCGCTGGGACAAGCAGCAATAATTCCAGCTGCACATTTCATCACACGTTATTTCCAGCAAAATCATCTGAGTGGGCTGTACAGCATGCCCCTCTTCCCACCATCACTGATCTAACCTTCTAAGGTACCTCCAGCTGAAAATTCTATGGTTTCTGCTCACATAAACTATCTTTTGTCAGACTTTTTCTGCAGATCACAGTTTATGTTTGTGAGTTGTCGGTCTACTGACAGAAACAGAAAGAAAACGTGAATTATCATAGTCGGCTTAAAAACCCTTCAGGGGTGCCTGGATGGCTTAGTCAGTTAAGCGTCTGACTCTTCATTTTGGCTCAGGTCATGATCTCAAGGTTCGTGTGTTCCAGCCCCTGTTGGGCCCTGTGTTGACAGTGTGGAGTCTGCTTGGGATTCTCTCTCTCTCCCTCTCTCTCTGCCCCTCCCCAGCTCGTGCATGTTCTCTCTCTCTCTCTCTCTCTCTGTCTCAAAATAAATAAGTAAACTTAAAAAAAAAACACCTCTTCATATCTATGTATTGCCTTATCCTGGAAAATACCAGTACATACTCATAAAATGGTGTAGGAGCAAAATCCTAAAGAGGATAGTATTCTGTATTGGTCAGAGTTTCTATTAACAAAAACCCTGAAAAAATTCTACAAAGAGATTCCTGTTTCTTTTCTGACCATCAGAGAATGGACAACCGTTCTGGGGATGACTTTATTAATGGAGGGGGGTGGTATTTACTCCTAGCGACTCCTCTGACACTAGGGAGGCCTTGCCAGAAATCTCTTTGCTTTCTCTTCATAACCAGAGTAACTAATGCAGTCTTTATAGCAAATCACAGCTGGGAAATTGCTGGGATGAATATCGAAGTGATGCTCTGAGACATTTAATTTCTCACCCCCGTTCCAACTTGTTTATCAAATAAATTTAGCTCTTCAGCACAATGGAGGAATCAAAGGTGGCAGTTAGTTAAGGCAATACGTTAAATTAAGATAATAACCAACCCCCCCCCCCACCCCCAGCCCCAAACAGCCTTGTGTTGGCTAACTGTATCAGGTTTGGAATCAACAATAGAAAAGGAAGTAGTGGGTCCCTTAGCTAGGTTAGAAGAAAGAAGAATCTAACTTGGAAAAAAAGGCATAGGGGGAAATAGTAAGAATGTGCACCAGCAAAACAGAGCATCAGCAAATACGAGGACTGTAAACGCTCATCTGGCCGCTTCCCAAGACCTTGAGGAAAACTGTCTCTTGGTCTATTTAATGCTTCCAACCTTGTAAGCCTGCAGTTTGAATAGAGGAGTTCAGGGTTGGCAGTCTCTGTGTTTATTCTGTGGAATGTGACATTTTTCAAAAATCATGTTTGAGTATTTAGATGAGAAGCCAGAGGTTGTTTCAAAAAAAAAATTAAATACATTTTGAAGAATGTAATAGAGTATGCAGAGAATCACACTGCCAAACTGGAGTCATCCCTGTCCGGTTTAGCACAGAGCCAAGATGCATTTAATAAATAGCCAGTGAACTATACCTAATCTATTAATCAATAAGGACCAATTTCTCCACTTTTTTTTTTCCAGGACCAAATGTAGTTTCCTCTCCTGCTCAACTATTTTCATTACCTGGAATTTCTTATGGGGATACCGAATGGGATCATTGCCCCCTTGTATATATTCAGTTTAGCTAAAACTAAAGGAATCGAAATGACATTTCTCATGTTCACAGGTTGCTCTTGATGTATTTTTTAAACATGTAAACTGTTTTGGTGGCATCATAATTAGGATTATAGCTCTAAAATACTGGGTTCTAACTCCTTCTGGTCAGTAAAGTTGACTACTACGGCTACCACTCTATCTGCTTCTGTTTTTACAAACCCCTCTTTTTAAAAAAGTTTGTTTTAATGTTTTTATTTACTTATGAGAGAGAGAGAGAGAGAGAGAGAGAGAGAGAGAGTGTGCACAAATGGGGGAGGGGCAGAGAGAGAGAGGGACCCAGGATCTGAAATGGGCCGATGTGGGCCTTGAACTCACAAACCATGAGATCATGACCTGAGCCGAAGTCTGGACACTTAACTGTCTGAGCCAGCCAGGTGCCCCTCAAACCCCTCTTTAAAAGTCAATTCTTCAAAGATAATTTCTTATTCCCAGTGCCTGAGTTTGGTGAAGGGTAATTCAAAAGACTGTGAGTTGTATCCATTCCAAATAGTTTCTTAAAATTTTTTAAATGTTTATTTATTTTCATTTTATTATTTTGTTCTTTTAAATTTGTTTAATGTTTATTTATTTTTGAGAGACAGAGAGAGCATGAGTGGGTGAGGAATAGAGAGAGGAGACACAGAACCCAAAGCAGGCTCCAGGCCCTGAGCTGTCAGCACAGAGGCTGATGTGGGGCTCAAACTCACAAACCATGAGATCATGACCGAGCCGAAGTCAGATGCTTAACTGACTGAGCCACCCAGGCTTCCCTCCAAATAATTTAATAATATCTTAAAAATGATATAATTTTCTTATTTATTTTGTCTTTATTACTTATTTTATTTTCTTATTTAGATTATGATTCCACCCAACTAAGCATCCTTTCTATAATGTGATTTTTAAATCCACCTGGTTTATCTAAATCTGCTCATTTCTATATTCTAAGTCTTCAGAATTATATCTCTTATATCTAGCTCTCTTCTCTCATCTGTCTCCCCATCATATTTTGCCCCTCTGCTAAGCCTTTTATTTTCTCTTTGCCTTCATTCTGTGAATCATTTTCCACCCAGGATACTTTCTCTGAGATCCCTCCTGCAAAGCTCTTATTCAACGGGAATGACATCTTTAATCTGTTTCTATAACAAGAAGATGATATCAGAGCTAAAAAGAGATGCTAATTAAAGTCACAATAAAATTGTAGAAGAGCATAACTCTTTGGGAACAAACAAATAATACATGTAGAATTTTGCACACTTGATTATTCCCAGATGAAAGAAGATGTCCCGGGATTGGATTTAGACAAGTCTCTTATCATAATGCAAGTAATCTTGGACAGAGAAATCTCAAGCCCATCAAGCTAAGTTATTAATCTAGATTTGTTAGTAAGTGTGTGGAGTTAGGGTAATGGCAGTCATCTCAATGGGTTGCATTAAATGAGATGGTAATGAGTTTTGAGTACAAAACATAGTGAGAGCAAGCACATAAGCTACAGGAAGTTCTGACAGTCTTCCCTAGACCTCCAAAGAGAGTTGGTAGGTAGCTGAAAGGAACACGAGTGGTTCACTTAGAAGGAGAATAGAAGTCTTCGTCTGCTTGTTTACTCCAACTTTAGCATAGACAAGGGAGAACTAGAGCCTGCTATTTATTCATTCATTATAGGTTCACTGACTACCTTCTGTCGATGCCAGGGGCTGCTGAAATTTGGGCCAAGTGTAGGGACTATTATTATCAAAACCATGGGGAAAGGACAGGGGGAGCTGAGAGATAATTATCCATTGGGTAACAATACCCAGAGCTAATGATTTTATGTGTTTAAGTAGACTGCAACTGCGATTTGTAAGTTTGACACAAGTGCCGGAAACATCATTAATATTAAGAAGCAGAGTTTTTTTTATCTTGCATTGCTGCTTGGCAAGGAACTGCAGCTTGCTTGCTGATATCTTCACCAATCTTCAATCTTTCCACCTGCCCAAAGTTAACTGGTCTAAAGAATTTTAAATTATTGCCAACACATTAGTCCTCTTAAGATGTGTGCCACAGAGGAGGAAAAAAAAAAACAACAACTAGCTTCAAGAAAACAGAGTTTCCTAACGTCCCTGAAAT